ACTCCTTTGGGGTTATATATCAGATATTTACACTATAAATCATAACAGTGGCAAAATTATAATTATGAAGTGGCAACAAAATTATTTTATGGTTTGAGTCACCACAACGTGAGGCACTGTATTAAAGGATTGCAGCATTAGGTGGGTTGAGAACCACAGCTTTATTGTCTTGATGTAAAACTATATGTGCCATGGCTTTCTTCAAACTTACCAACTGCCAAAGTATGTTTCCTGTTTCTCTGCAAGGATCCTGTGTATGGATCCTCAAAGCAAACCTCTGGGAGTTGTCTTCAGCACCAGCTACTGCATTCCCACCCAAACAATCTTATCAAGGAAGTCTGAGACAGTCTTTCCCTACGATGAGTCTCTAATCCACCTGCCAGTCCATGTCTACTGCAGTCATCATCCTGGGTATAAATGTGTCTCCTCCTTATCTCCCGGCTTCCCTTTCTACCCAGCTCATATTCTCCCTTCTAACCCCACCCTACGCAGCAGCCAGACTGAGCTTTTGAAAAAAACAAAACTGATATTTCTCCTTTAGTGAAATCCTTTAGTGGTTTTTTTTTCATCCTTCTTTGGACGAAATCCAAATTCCTTTTGAGCAATGAGGTTCGATAGGATCTGGCCCCTGAATATCTCTTCAGGTTCCCCTCACCCAACCCTTTATTAAGAAAATTTCCAAACAGGCAGCAGAACGAACAAAACTGCTTTATAGTGAGTATCCATGGGCCCACTTGGGTCTTATCATTAAAACCTTACACAGCATTTTATCATACTGCTATCCATTTACCCGCTCCTCTGTTCTTCCATTAATCATTCTTGCGTTTGGTGTATTTCCACATCACTACCAACTCTACCCTCATTTTTAAATACTCGTCCCCTACAGTCCAACAATAGTCATCTCTCCATTCCTTGACTATGTTAGTTGGTTTTGAATCTCTGGGTTCCTGTGCCCATTGTCCCTTCTCCCTAAGACATCTTTGGCTCTTGATAATGTAGATCTCATCCTTCAGTTCACAACCTAAAACTGCCAAATGACAACCTACCCTTGGATCCTAATCTAGACTAGACCTATGTTCTGCCATGGGTGTGCCCTACACATTGACTTGCTAAAGTAATCATCCAATGTTTTACCTCTCCTGCTGGACTGGACATCTCTTGAAGGCAGAGGCCATGTCTGTATTTGAACATGCATTTCTATTTTAACCTTTGCTGAAAGCCAGGTGATATTTCTAGAAAGACTGAAGGCAGAACCCATAACTGGTAGGAACCACATGAAGAAGTTAACCCATTCTTTCTTTAATAATGTATAAACAAGACAGTTTTTCTTAAGGCTTCTGGGAGAAAATGGGGCTCATTGATATAACCAGTAATTAACCAGTGATTAAGAAAATTGCTTAATGACAAGTTCTCTGGCTAGAGGATGACTTCTGCCATGTTCTAATAACTCTTCCCCTCAAAAATACCCCAATCAATATGCAATCTAAACAAGACAGAATGTTTGATATGCAAGCACAGGTAAATGCCACAGCTATGGTGGATTGGGCTGATTTGTGGTAGCCGATATCCTGAATGCTTGCTCTGTATCAGATAATTTTTTCTGGGGTTCTAATGTGAATTCTATTTGTTTTATTTGTTTGTTTTTGTTTTTTGTTTTTTTGAGACAGGGTCTCTCTGTCTAACAACAGTTTTAGCAGTCCTGAAACTAGCTCTTGTAGACCAGGCTGGCCTCAAACTCACAGAGATCCACCTAACTCTGCCTCATGAGTGCCCCACTACTGCCTGGCTGTGAATCCCATGCCCTTTATGACCCCATTTGGAAGTACAAGGTTACTCTAGAAAATCCAAAGACTGCCGTATTGAAAACAGGAGTTTTGATTACTCCGGCAGACATCTAAAAATGCAGAAGGTCCCATTTAGATCTTAGAAATCCAAGACACGAACCCTTGGTTAGAGAATCTTGAGTCCCACATCTGACCGACCAGTAAGTATGTTGACTTTAAGCTTATGGTTACCCCAACTCTGTCACCCATTATATGTCACCTCTGTGCACATTTAAAAATTACTTCTGAGAAGAATTCTACTTTATATGGAAAGAAACTCAGCTCATACACTCTGGAAACCATTGTCATCTTTCTGGTCATAGGAGGTAGGAGGTGGCACGCAGAATTTCCCAGTGAAAACATGTGGGATTTAGGATGGTCTCTACTTGAAGATTACGTGTTCCTAAATGGGTGGCCTTGTAACTAGCAACATCTCCAGGCCTCAGGGGCTTCAGTTGGCATTCCACTCTGGATATGTGGAAATGCACAGAGAAATCTCAGAAGAGTGTTTGGAGTAGAAAATGCCTGATGATGCTGATCCTGACTTGAGAAAGCAAGGAAAGACAGAAAGACAGAAAAAGGTAGGAGAGAGTAGTAATCTTGATGGCCCATAAAGGAGACAGAGAGAGATGAGAGATAGATAGATAGATAGATAGATAGATGAGAGAGAGAGAGAGAGAGAGAGAGAGAAAGAGAGAGAGAGAGAGAGAAAGATCATAGCATTTGCATCGCTCTTAGTCAGATGAGCCTGCCTGCAGCTACCACTTACAATGCAAATTGAGCTTGGAGTCCTTCACAGTAACTACACAGCAAACCCCTTTCAGCTTGAAATAGAACACTGTAGAACACTGCAGTGTGGGGTGATCCAAGCAAAGCAGGGTGGGGGTTGGGGTTCAGAGAAAACATGAAGGAGAGTTTAGGGGAAAATAGTCTGCTGTATTTGAGCATGTAGAAGTGTAAATGTAGAGAGATAATAAAGGAAACAGAGAAATACTATCTACTAAAGGATGAAGAAGATAATCCACCAGTAAGTAGGTTTAAATTGTCAAGAAGAAAAAGAACTTTTGGGGAGAAGACTTGGATCTGGTGCTCTCTTGGGGGCAGGCTGGCACTTCCTCAAATGTTCATTAGAAGGGGCAGATAGGTTCCTTCTCTACTGTCCAGCTCAACTGAAAAATAATAAACCAAGACTAGAGAGAGTTTCTTACACCACCAAGCTTTTATTCCATTTCCCCCTCTTCCCAACTCTTCACTAAGACCAGGTACAGGCATTTATGAGAGACTGATTATATACACCAGAAAAGATCAAAAGCTCTGCTCTATAAGCTCATGCTTCATTGTTACTATACAAACTCAAATGTTTCATCCAGAATTAGAATTTATTAAAAAAACATGCAATTAAATAGGTACAAAGGTAGTATTCAAGACCCTGGAAACAATAAAGAATATCATTTTAAACTTCCTCCTTCCACAAATGACATTCCTATACACCTGGCTCAGTCACCTTCTCACTTTGCTAGGTTTCCTTTTGCCTGTCCAATGTAATATAGGATATATAAAGAAGGCAACCTTCGTTCTTTGTAGTCACACACAGAAAGCTCTCCATTCACCACAAAGCTAACAGACTCAAGGCTGGCTGCTCTGGTGGATGGAAAGCCTAGATGTCATATGCTACCTGGTTACACTCAGTCACAAAGCACAAAGACTTGACATCACACCGCCGCTGTGGAAATAGTTTCAAAAAACCAGCAACAATGGTATTCATCATGGGGCAGGGATGAGTGGTTCATCTTAAAATTCATCCCCAGGGTCTCAGGGCTTGCAGGGCATCTGGTACCACAGACATGGTGGACTCGATGGTCCCCAGACATGGTGATGAAGGAGGTGTTTTTAATAGCACTTGGAGTTCTTCTATCTAAACTTCCAGAGATGCTTGCAGAGGGTGGCACCATGACTCCCTCCCCCCACATGTGTCTTTTTATTTTCCCCAGGCTGGCACTCTTATTTGAACCCCTGCCTTTCTCTGGCATTCTTCTGATATGATTAAGCATTACAGAGATTTCAGCATTCTAGAAGAATCACCTCCGGCTAAGATGCCCCGGGACCTTTTCCCTAAGCACCTTCACACTCTCTTTCTCACACGGGCTGGGCTATTACCATAGGACAATGCAGTGCTTTGTATTAGTTGCCAAACCAAGACCCACAGGTAGAAAATGAAGCTCAAATGCAAAAGTTGTGTCATTTAAATGAAACTAAAACGTCTCGGACACAAAAGGAAGGGTGCTATCCACCTGCTGACTTTCCCTGAAGGCTTGCCCAGTGCTTAGGCTGGTGATAGAGCGAGAGAGAGAGAGAAAGAGAGAGAGAGAGAGAGAGAGAGAGAGAGAGAGAGAGAGAGAGAGCTAGCGAGCACAATTTCACCTCTTGCCAAAGCTCAGCTTGCTGAATACTCCTGCTTTCTGCTGGCTGTTGATTCAGCAGAAAGTACTGCTGCAGAATTCATAATGGTGATTTTTAAAGGCCCCACGGATCCCGTTGCTCGCCCCACGTGTCAGCCTCGTTTGCTCGCCGCGGAACATGATTCCCCTCCTACATTTTAAAAATTTTCTGGCTAACGTACTTCCAGGGGGAGAGGGCTCCCCCACTTTTGCAAAGGGCTTTTTGGGGGTTGTGATTGTCTAAGCAGGTAAGCCAGTGAGTCAGAGAGATGAATGGGCAAGATATGAAGCTGTGCCCTTACTCACTGCAGCCACGGAGAGCCATGGTATCTCGCTATACCCAGAGAGGGGTGGCTCAAGGTCTCACTGGCCCCCTCCCTTCTTCCCTCAGTCCAAGATTCCTGTAAGCATCTTAGGGCAAGAAGGGGTCATTTGCTTCCTTGGGATTATCTGTCTGCCTGGGAGCCGCGCCCTGAAAAGCCTAATCCCTAAAGGCCATTTTGACTCCCGGGGGCACCTGGTCCACCTGCTGCTGAACTGGGGCTCTAGTCACAGAGCCCCGATGGATATGCTGATCCCTAGGCAATTCGGGTGTGAGCCTAGTCTGAGCCTCCGCCCCAGCCCCAGCCCCAGAGACCGGAGGAGTCTCTGCCACTAGGCGCCTGGCCGCTGGGCGAAGCACAGCTATCCGCAACTTGCACCCGACCCCAGCGGCGGAATGCGGCCGAGCTGGCATTACCTTCGGTCGCATAGCTGTGGTCGCGCAGGAAACTGTTGTTGATTTTGCGGGTATCAATGTCCTCCTCCATTGACAGCAGGCTTACTTGCGTGGGAACCAGAAGCCGGCAGACAAGTATCCATGATCCCACCCCGCAGCCAGTCTCACAGGAGAGGGGGGCAGGGGAGCCAGTGGGACTGCACCATGGTCCGAGCCTGAGGAGGAGACGGGGAGGCGGAGAGAGAAGAAAATAAAAACCCGGCAATGGAGCTGTCACCTCCTCCACTCCGTTCTCCGCGGCTGCGGTGGCTCCTCCCGCACGGTGCGCTTACTTCAGCTCCAATTCCCAGCGAGGATGCTGTGCCTGCCTCCTCTGCCTCCGGGTACCAGGAAGCCCTGGTCCCCCACAAGAGGTCTGGTCCTGCTCGACTGCCCAGGAGGCACTCCCAAGCGGGGCTGGGGAGATGCCCAACAGGTTCCCCTTGGTAGGCAGTGGCTTCAAAATGCAAAAAAGAGAGCCCTCCTCCCTTGGGAGAGCGGGCAGCCGCGACAAAATGGTGCCTTTCCGGACCCACACTGCAGTGGCGAGATGGCAGGGGCAGGATTCAGGCTTGCCTTGCCGAGACAAGGGTGCTGGTCCCACGGGAGGGCGGCTCCCACAGGCGGGGGCTAGGAAAGCTGGCAGGGAGCTAGGCAGGGCGCTGTGGCCAGCGCCAGCGCTCTCCACCTCACACCCACAGGCGCGCACTCGCAGCTGCTGCTGCTCCTGCTGCAGGAGGCTGGAGGCGGCTGGTGCATTAAAGGCGAGGCTCCTCCCAACCGCGTCAGCAGCCCCAGGACTCTTCCCCAGCAGCAGTGGGAGTCCAGGCAGAGGCTTCAACTGCTCTCTGTTGCAGAAGTGTGCATGCAGCAGCCAAGGACACCTGGACAGCGAGTGGCTAGCTTGCAGGTTCACGGGGCGGGGTGGGGGGGGGGAGTGGTTGTGGATGCGCTATTTCAACCTCTCCCCTCTGGTGCCACGTAGCCAAGGGTGGCACAGGGCTTGTGCTCAGAGACCCTTAGCTCGTTGCTTTGCTCCAGACACCTGCCTGCACTTCATTCAGGTCTGCATTTAGAAGCAGCTTCCTTTGGGTAGAAGTCCACATCTAGGTCCCTTTTGCTTACGGGATGTGAAGTAGACTGCCCTTACTGAAGTTCAAGGGCGAGAGGCCTGGAGCACCAAACGTGGAGAAAGCTGGAAAAGGAGCTTATTCAAAGATTAGCCCTCTCCGCGAGGACTAGAGAGCAGAACAGGGGCCAGAACTTTGAGACTGCTATCATGCCCGATTGCTTTCCAAGTGGTCTAACATTAACATGTTGGTGTTCGGAAATGCATCAGTGTCTATATGGTCAGAGACGTAGTCTATATAATACAGGCTGAGTTATGGGTCAATATACTACGACTGAAGAAGCACACTCTCTGTAGCCCTTTAAGTTTTCTTTTGGACAGATACAGGGGCTTCTCAGCTCAGGTGTAGCTTCTTCAGAATGTCTACCGTATGCCCTCAGCATAATAGGTCCCTGAATGCAGAAGGAAGACCGGGACCAACGAGAGCCACTGCTACCTGTATAGACTTTAAAGAATCTAATGGCACATACAAAAGACCTGTCTTCTTCAGCTCAGAGCAAAGGCAGGATCCACTCCTCAGCCTACACCTCCCTAAATGGCAAATTCCACATTCGAAAGAAAATGAGCTTGTTACTGTTACGAAACAAACAAAATAATTTAACAGAGCAGTCCAAACCAGGAGAAGAACAATTTGGAAAAGAACTTCTCTCTGATTTCCTTAGGAAGCAGTATGCATTTCTCTGAGTGTCACTGTAGGGAGAGATATCAGCAAATGTCTTGCTCAGTTAAACTCCACGAGTTTAGCCAGATGGGCCCTGAGGGACCTGTGAGTTAATTATATACATACAATGAATGCTTCGGGTAACACAATTTAGAAAGAAGTATTTGAAGTTTTTTTTTTTTTTTAAAAAAAAATGGGAAAACAAGTCCTTAACTGAGGTTGGGAATTGCCACTAGGTTTTAAAGGAAAAAAAAAAATAGATGTTGTCTGGTGGGTGAAAAATAATATTGTTTCCACCCCAAGAAAGTAACTGCATCTTTTGGGGAAGAGGGGAGTCGAAATGCTTTCCTGCAATTAGGAGGTGAAAGGTGGGCTTCCAGTAGATTCTATTTTAGTTTCATGTAGTTATTAAATCTTACATGCTCGTTTGACTCTTTGTTCAGAAGCCACATGTAAAATTTAAGTGACAGATGAGAATTGGTATAAGTTGGTGCAATCTGCTTCATGGTTGTTCTACTGCTGGCTTCTTGCACATTGAGCTGGGAGCCTCACCAAGGCTGCAGGGTTCCCATAGGGACACCTTTCTGCTTCTCTTGGAGACTGGCATGTGGTACAGAAGAAAGCAAAGGAAAAGGATAAGTCCATTTCTCAGGGCATCAGGGAGCAGAGGTGTCTTGCCTTCATATGAAACGATCTGAGAATGCGTACAACAGCAGGGCTGAGGACCTATTGGGAAATTCACTGCCTTGTCAGTTTAGAATATGGGCTGGATCGGAATAGAGTTGTATGATGTAGAGCTGCATGATGTTGTGGGATCAGGCTTATTGGTCAGATTAAGTGTGAGGAATTTTCCATGGTAAGCCATGAGAAATACAACCTTCCCCTAGCCTCTGAGTCAACTAAATTTTCCCTTTGGTATGTTCTGCAATATTCTGCCTGCATTCCCTCCTCAACACAAAAAACACAAGTCATAGGAAGGCAAACGAGAAGGACTTACATTTCCACTCATTAAGTGGACTTCAGAGTTATGGAAGGCTGTTTTTCGTCACTGAGATCACACTATAGACCTCTACTATTTTTTCCAATTATTTTTGCCTTTTTAACAACACTTTATTTTCCAGCATTTGTTTATCATTATTATCGCCAAATATTTTCATCATGTCTCTAATATCAGGTTATCTGCCGCTTAGAGATGCTCGCTTATACTTATTGAATGGTAATACACATTGAGTAAATAAGTAAACTATCGAATATAGTTAGTGGTATTTAGTCTTTTATTCCTCTATCTATGACAAAAATCAGGCAGAAACAATCTACTGTCAGCCTGCAGTTTTCTAGCTTATACCTCCTGCTGCTAGGGGAATAATTGTTCCCATTCAGTCCTACATGTATGTATACTAAAAATTACTAGACATTTGATATGTGCTAGCGTTGGTCTAAATATTGGGAGTACAGACAATATGAAACAAAGTTCCTTTCTTCACAGAAGAATGTGAGCTTTGAGGTGGGCCACATCCTATAATCAAGCCCACTGGTGTGGTGGCTAGGAGCAGAAGAAGCATAAGTTCAAGGCCAGCATGGGCTACACCTTGAAAGGGGGCTGGAAAGATAGCTCGGCAGATAAAGATGCCCACACCCTAGCCTGATGACCTGAATTTGATCTCTAGAACCCACATAGTAGAAGGAGAAACTGACTCCACAAGCTATCCTTTTACTTTCACATTTATACGTGCTCTTTCTCCTCTCTCTCTCTTTCTCTCTCTCTCTCTCTCTCTCTCTCTCTCTCTCTCTCATACACACACACACACACACACACACACACACACACACACACAATGTAATAAAATATTCAAATAGACAGACCATAGCATAACATCAAGTATCAAGCGGTGACATCAGGGAAAGCTTATTTCATCTACCTACTATTATACTCCTGTGTCTGCGAGCAGGTTACACAATCTCACTGAGCCACAGATTCTCTTACCTATAAGTTAGGGAGAAAAATGGCATCAATTTTATAAAACCTCTGTGAAGATAAAATAAAATAACATCTGGAAAGAATGCTTCACTGTTGCTTAGAGGTTTCGTTTTGTTTTGTCGTATTACCACCGTCGATTTCTAGCACACTCGTGTGCCAGGCGAGGACCCAGGATGGAGAGTCCACACGTCAGTTTGTGAGATGGCTAGTTAGTCTCCATCATCACGGACCTTAGCATCCAATTTATAGTTTAAGTAGTGGGCCACAAGCTCCAAAGGGGGTTGTAGAGGGAGCTCGGAAAGGCTGACCTAATTCAGCCTTGAGTCTACATAAAAAGAGCCAATTACAAGTACACCGCACTCCTATGCTACCCCATTCAGCACAACAGGAAGTGGATACGTCTTTTTTTTTCCTCACCCTTGTCCTTGGTCTCCTCTCCCAACACAACTCTCCCTGCTTGCCCAGGTAGGCTAGTGCTTCTGACACACACTGAGACCCTTGAGCGCAACCTATGCCCTTCCCACATTAAACAACCACAACTTTGTTAAACCCTTTGATCCACTCCAGTCTCCTGAGTTATAATGTAGTCTTAAGGTGTCAGGCAGTCCCAGTTTGTACCCCCGCTCAGGCATTTATGAATTCTTTGAGCTTCAGCAAGCAGTTTTGCATCTCTGGGCCTCTGTGTCTACAAAGCAGGCCAGAGCCCTAGCAGTTCCTACCCAGGGTTGTGGAGTGGCTTCAGAGACAATGTAAGGGAAGCACTTGGTCCAGGCTTGGACTAAAGCCAGACCTCTCCAGATGAATGATGACTCTCCACAGTCCTTCATGGAGACCTCTGTCTGCCGAGAGGCACACTACATGTCGGTCTGCCCCATGAACACAAGTGACCTAGAAACCAGAGTGTTATGATCTCTGGTTGTCTTGATGAACAGCTAGAAGCAATATAGATGATATTTTAGCACCTTGCAAAAGAAGCCTACAAGCTATAATGCTGATATAAATGTGAGGAAAGAAGACTTTTCCTTCTTGGTGCCTCTGTGGCTTCAGATTTAACTACACATCCTCAATGGAGGAATCCCATGGATTTCCTTTCCAGGAATTCCACTCACCCAATGTCCACCCTACTCTCTGAGGTGGTTTAAGCGCTGGCTGCCCAGAGACTGACTTCCTGAATGTCAAGCAAGTTTGTAATTCTTTCTTGTGCATGCTACAGCATGTAATCCTCCATGAGTAATTCTTTAGTATGGCATTTCACTTAGGAAAGGAAAACAAAGCCTTTTGTGGGACCTTTGTACACTGTGTGAAGATATACTGCTGTGACTTGCTTAATAAAGAGCTGAACAGTCAATAGCTAGGCAATAGGTATAGGTGGGATTTCTCGGGAGAGAAAGGAAGAGGAGAAAAAAATTAAGGGGTGGGAGACACAGAGAAGAAGATGGAAGAGAGGTAATGCCACATGACAAAACATAGATTAATATAAGTGGATTAATTTAAGGTATAAGTGCTAGTTAGGACCGAGCCTAAGCTACAGGCCAAGCTTTAATAATTAATAAGAAGTCTCCATGTCAGCTGACTGGCAGAACAGAAAAAGAATTGCTACAAAAGTCTTCGGCCCTCCCAGTGCTGTATGGACTTCAGATTAGGGACTACTTGGGACCAAGATGTGTAGGATGCACATCTCTGTCCAGTCGGGTCTCAAGTGATGTTATGATGGTGGTATAAGACCTGAAATAGGTTGTGATGACAGTTATATCAAAGAAATAATAAGTTTCTTAGAATAACTATGTACACCAAGTTGTTATTTTTTAAATGTGAGATCCAGTCTTTAAACAATTACTAGCAATTAGCAGATCAATAGAAACTCACCACTTGCTGCAGTATCTTTACTGCACCCCATTGCACCCACCCCTTTGCACCCACCCCTCTGCACCCACCCCTCTGCACCCACCCCTCTGCACCCACCCCTCTGCAC